AGTAGAGCCGGTCTCGCTGGCTGGGCGGGACTGATGGTAAGCACCAGTACCGGTAGGATATAGAGACTGGTAGAAATCATACAGGGAAGCACAATGGACCAATACAGGTCTAAGTGCATGGGGAAACCCACCCTCTCCAATAACTAACTAACTAACTAACTAGTGTATTAATCGATGTTTCTTGAAGCGGGGGGGGCACGCGGTAGCGTAATTGGTTAAGACACTATGCTACAAGCCGGAAGGTCACGGGTTCGAGTCCCGATAAGGTGGATTTTTTTTCGATTTACCTAATCCTTCCAGCCGCACTATGGCCTTGGGGGCGACTCAGGCTCTAACAGAAATGAGCACCAGAAATCTTCCTGGGGGGTAAACGGCGGCCGGCGCGTAAGGCTGAGAACCTTACCGCCATCTATGTGCCTATTGTCTAGAGAAAGTGTGGGAACCTGAAACTCTCACAAACGTATGGGCCTTCAGGGCCTGTTACAGGGACTCCTTTACTTTGTTTTCCTCCTTGAAGCTGTGCTCATGCAGGAACGAATGGCTGAATCAACGTTTCCTGAAACTCTGTTCACATAGGCGCGCGTGTTGCTGATGGACGCTTCACGGAGTTCTGTTCACACTAGCGCATCTCTCTCACTACAAACCGACGATTCCTTGAGTTTTATTCTTATTAGGCTAAGTAAAGTTTCCCTCAGCTCTGCACATATTGGCGATGCTCACAAGGCTCCATTCACTGTGACGCGTGTTGCAGGTACTACGGCATGAGGACTTGGTTCCCAGACTACAAGAAGCTGGTAAGCACGTGGGAGTATGACGCAAGGACCAGTCTCATCACAAATGCCACGTACGACGGGCACGCCTTCAACACTTCAGTTGAAAATGTGCGCTGGATAGACAGCTTCTTCAAGAACTGCTCCTTCCACCACCTGACGTTCAACCATGTAAGCTTCGACAACTGCACTGTAGAGGACGTTCGCTTCGAGATCATAAAGTCCAGCCGCACTTACTTCAGGAACTCCGTCATCAAGGACTCCAGGTGCGAGGACGTTTTGTTCAATGAAAGAATTCTTTAAAAGCGGGATTTTAGCCAATAAAACCACTTGCGTTGTTTCAGCGTCAGTTAACTCAGGCTGGTACAACGGCTGGGGACAGAACATTTCTTTGTTCATCGAAAGACATTAAAATTCCTTTAATTTATTTGTCTTTCCGGCTTTGCTTTCCTTGTTTCCTTCCTATTCCTTCCACGTTTGTTTGGTTCGTTTTAGGGCCGGAGCGTGAGTCGCTTTGTCCTACCGCCTCAGCTGGACGTAACGTACAAGCCCCTGACTACAGACAAGAGCCGTGGTGGAATTATCTTACTTTCTTTTGTAATTTGATTCTTGTATACCAGTTCCTGCAATATTCTTTTGTGCATTTATTAATTTCTTTCTTGATTTATCTACATCGTATATTTCTGTTTCCTTTATTTTTAATCCGTCCTTATGTCTCTCATTTTGATATAAGCCTGTTTTCCTATAGACTGAGGTGTCATTATTAATGGGCTACCTCGTACGGTTGACCGCCTCTGTGGTCTAGTGGTCAGAGTTCCTGGTTACAGATCCAGAGGTCCCAGGTTCGATTCCCAGCGCTACCAACTTTTCTGAGAAGTAGTGGGTCTGGAAAGGGGTCCACTCAGTCTCGTGAGAATAATTGAGGAGCTTTTTCAAGGAAATAGTGGCTCCGGTCTAGAAAACCGAGATTAACGGCGACGCGACACCCTCTATCCGCTAAAGTTTGCATTAACTTCGCCGACAAGCGGCGGTATCTCGGTCGGTATAGTTCGCTTGCGGACTAAAGGCCACGGAATTTTACTTCGTACGGTTTCTATCTTAGTTTCCATTCCTGTTCATGTATTGATGATACCGCCAAATAACGTGGTTTGAAACACTGTGCCTCTTCTCGGGCTAAATGTAATATCTCTACAGGAAGCTCGAGTGTATGGGCTTAAAGCTACGCATTTTGAACGTAGTAACTTTTAAGCGAAGTAAACCATATGACTCTAGTGTGACTACTATCTGCAATCTTGTATTTAAGTATCCTGTTGCATTACTATATCTGAAACTGTTTATGTACTATACAGTCCTTCAACAATGCAACAAACTGTTCCTTCTTCCTTACACTTTCACTTCCGACACATGTTTCGGCCCTAAATGGTCATCTTCAGGTGCTTTACTGTACTAAAATTGCTACACTGCACTAATATAATGCATTCATTACATATGCAGCTGCATGCTTCCTGATTCAAGCCATCATAGTCGTGGTCTAACTGCTATGCCCTAAAATAGCACACACTGTAGTTCACTTAATTTAAGGCAATAAAATCTATTAAAATTTGTTTTCCTCTAAATTCTTATTACACCTCACAAGGGGCGTCGTGCACTTGTTTAGATCTGTTTACTTTTCTTCGGGTGTTTTATTGCAGTCGTCTGCTTTTCTGTTCGTAAGCCCGTTGTTGTGCTATGTCTGCAATCTGTAATTTGCCCTTCCCTGTGCGTTGTTCCCTCTGGCAGCGTGTGCTGTTGTCTTAAGTTGTCCTTACATATGGAAAAACAGCGACTGCAATAAAACATCCGAAGAAAAGGAAACAGGTCTAAACAAGTGGACGACGCCCCTTGTGAGGTGTAATAAGAATTTAGAGGAAAACAAATTTTAATAGATTTTATTGACTTAAATTAAGTGAACTACAGTGTGTGCTATTTTAAGGCATAGCAGTTAGACCACGACTATGATGGCTTGAATCAGGAAGTATGCAGTTGCATATGTAATGAATGCATAATACGCGTATTAGTGCCGCGTAGCAGTTTTCGCATAGTGAGACGCCTGAGGATGCCCGTTTGGGGCCGAAACATGTATCGGAAGTGAGAGTGAAAGGAAGAAGGAAAAGTTTGTTGCATTTTTGACGGACTGTGTAGTACATAAACAGTTTTAAACCATATGAGCTGAAATCTCAGTTAAAGTGACGATGTTGCAGGTTTGTGGACACCGACTTATCTGACCAGCATTTCGAGAACTGTCTGATGTCCAACATCACCGTGCTCAGTCTGTCTACCGGCTGTCCGCTAGACTTCGACTACAACATCCGCCTGGATGAAGTGCTCATCGGACAAATGGCTGGGCAGGTGGCAATTCTGCCCGGTGCCGTGCTCTCTGCTCTAGCCATAGACAAACTGGGTCGCGTTAAGGTCATTGGTAAGTCGGAGAACCAAAGCTCTACAAACGCACTCAACTTGAAATTGATTGTTAAAATGCAGGCAGGAACTTGATAATTGAATGAATGAGATGTTAGGAAGTGGCGCTGCCGAATTTCCCAGACCGTGAAGGATAATACTCTCCCAGGTTCATTACAGAAACAAAGAATAAGGCTTCGCAGATACGAAAACCGGCTCCAGTTTGTAAGATTGGAGGTTTTCATGGCGGTGACTATGAAGGAATGCCATCTTCTGGATGTGGCGCCGTGTATATATATTTTTTTTCCCATAAACCGACGTTTCGGAGGAACGTATCGCCTCTATCTTCAGCCATCTGCTCACGCTGGTTCCTCACGTGTGGATTTCTTCTTCTTTTATTCTACCATGAAGATGGAGGCGATACGTTCCTCCGAAACGTCGGTTTATACAATATATATATATACACGGCGCCACATGCCAGAAGGCGGTATTCTTCGATTTCAGTTTGATACCTTATTGTACCCCTCTCATTCACCCATTAAATTGCGTAAACTTCTATTTTCATATGCTCAATCTTAATCTTCGAATTCAGTATTTCCCAATTTAACAACAGTATCATTATTGAGAACGGCAGGGGAAAAGGAAAAACTCGGACAAAAAAGGCCCCACTGCCTCTTTGTCCACCACAAATTTCACATGATTTGACCTGTGGTTGACCTCGGGCCGCCGCGATAGGAAGCGGAAGTCTAACCGCCTGAGCTATGGCACTGCCTAATCTTCTCACCGAGTAAAATAATCTTTACATAATTCTGTCCGCTGGGAGGACGCGTAGCATGTGAAAGCAGCATCAAATTCTGCGAAGTGACATGTCAACGAAATCGTTTTATTTGACTGCAATAGTATTAACGTATTCCCCTTCGGTAAAAGGATAAAAGGTAAAGTTGTCCCTGTGCTTAACTAATTAAGCACTACACCATGAAGACATATACGGGGGTGGATTTATAGACCCACGTTTTCTTGACCTCGGCACTAGCCGGAGGTGAGTGGTCAGCTTCATGCCCCTGTCGCTTTACTCTCGGGGAAAGAGCCCCCGATACCTGTTTGATAAGGGGCTGGGTGGGCCTCAGGGCTCGAATTACAACCCATCGGCCGTCCAGCCAGTCGCTATACCGACTGTGCTATCCTGGCTCTTACTGTTCCCCAGTACTAGGTCTACAGACAATATATGCTAAGGTGCATGCTTCGTTCACAATTTATGTGGCGTACATATATACACGGATAAGGATAAGTGACGGGGAGGTTGGGAAACCTTAAGTTACAATGAGCTGTCACTAGCAACAAATGAATTGCAAAATCCTAAACGCAGATTATTACAAGTAACCAACAGTCGCTCAGTGGCAATAACTGTGTTACTGAACTGTACTCCTTTAATTTTACGTATTCCCTCTCTTCCTGTTTTTTTCTGTTGTATTATTATTTTTCATTGCTAGTGGGGTGGGACTTTGCCCCTTGTACTGCGGCCACTTCTGGCCTATTGTACCAGCCCCAGATGATAGGTGAGGGTGATTGTTGGTGGAATGAAGATTGGCAGGGTAAACCGAAGTACTCGGAGAAAACCTGCCCCAGCGCCACTTTGTCCACCACAAATCCCACTTGACGAGACCCGGGATCGAACCCGGGCCGCTGCGGTGGGAAGCCAGCGACTAACCGCTTGAGCTAAGGCGCGGCCCTTTCCTCTTGTAAGAAACACACATATTACGTCAATAGCGCTTACGGAAACGTCATTACCAGGAACCCAATAGGAGGCCAGCGTTTCGCTGCTGTCTGCCCGACGTCTACTCACGGTCACAATGAGAGAAGTATGCATTTACAGTATGTTTCGGCGGCTTCTAGTCAAGCTAGCGGATGGGTAGATATTCCCTTGTGGGCCTAGAAGACATAACTCAGCCACTGTTCTATATCAGGCATACAAATCCAACCAAATTTTCCGTTCGAGTAAAATTTCGGCTGGTAAATATAAAGGTGTATAGTTTAAGAGCTGAGAGATAGGTTGTAAGGATGAAACCATAAGTCCATCTTGAATATGTAGATCATATGAAAGAATGTATAAATAAAAGCAAAATATTACGTTTGGATAGAATTATGGGAAAGAGAGCTCTTAAGGGAGATAAATACATATTAACGACAATGTGATATCTGTGCTGCAGGGCTGTCAATGTACCTCTCGAGTCTAACGGCGATAGGCATCTGGCTCCTGTACTCCGACAGAGTGATGGATCTTTACGGATTCGTGTTCAACATGTTCTTCATCTCGGGATGGAACGCCATTGAAATAGCCACAATCGAGTCCTATCCCACGCACCTCAGGTATGACTTTGTCAGGATACGCCAGTCCTAACCCGAACACCACAGATAACGGCGTTCAGAGAAATAGTTTCAGTGCAGGTTACTTCACACTGCACACTCCAAACTTAACAACGAAGGTGTCAGTACAGGTAAGTCCTCTAACAAACACCTGTATTATGCACACTAAAATGTAGCACCACCTGAAGAAAGTTCCAGGACAGCCCAGCTGTAACTCAAACATCCTAACAGTAAAAAAGGGTAAAATTGTCCCTGTGCTTAACTAATTAAGCATTACGCCATGAAGACGTATGGAGGAGTCGATGTATAGTTCCACATTTTCTTGACCTCGGCACTATTTGGAGGTGAGTGGTCAGCTTCAAGCCCCGGCAGTATTTCCCCGGGGAAAAGCCCCCTGTATCCATTGTGTAGGAGGCTCGGTGAGCCCAAGAGCCGATCTGGACGATACTGAGAAGTGAAAGTTCTTGCCCCCACCAGGACTTCCCCCCGGTCGCCCAGCCCGTAGCCAGCTGCTATATCGACTGCGCTATCCCGGCTCATAACACCTTAATAGTTGCATGTGAATTTAATATTTGTTCATGACAGAGGAAAAGTTGATTGAATTCTTGATTTTTTCGTCTGTAATTTTTTCTGCCGAACGCACCTCTTGAGTGTACACCAGATATTCTTGAAGTGTTTTTATTTTGTATGGTATACAATAATCTAGCGCTATGTTGTACACTGTAAGATACAATCATCTCAGCGCTATCTTGTACACTGTGAGTCAATCATCTCAGCGCTATCTTGTACACTGTAAGATACAATCATCTCAGCGCTATCTTGTACACTGTAAGTTACAATCATCTCAGCGCTATCTTGTACACTGTAAGATACAATCATCTCAGCGCTATCTTGTACACTGTAAGATACAATTATCTCAGCACTATCTTGTACACTGTATAAATAAGATCAGTTATCTCAGACAGTGCCTTGTACAGTGTTAGGTACTTTGTGCGATACATACGAATATATCAGTGATTATCTTGCACATTTTGTACATCTACTTCACATGTTCCTCACAATTACTCCTGCCTTCTTTCCCCGCAGAACGACCGGGTACGGATTCGTTAGTGGAATATTCCGGCTGGGCGGGATACTCGGGACTGTCACGTTCAGCAACCTGGTGAGCGCGAGCCGTGTCGTCCCCATGTTGACAACCGCTGCTGTGCTGCTTGTGGGAGGAATTGTGTCCCTCAAGTTGCCCGAAACGTACTTCGTGCTGCTGTAGGCGCAACACTGAGATCCACTGTCACTGGGGCTTCATCTCACAGGTGTGACAGAGAGCTCATAGAGCTGATCAAGTGCTTTGTCAACGGGATACAGCTACAGAAGAATTCTATTACTGCATATGAAATGTGTACATTTTTCTCATTGATTTGTGACTCAGGAGGTGAGGTTATTGCACGTGAGACAGATGTCATGGTGCATTATATTTTGTGAGTTGAGAGATGTGAAGGTTCACTTCACTCTGCTGTCGAAGCCTTGGTGATACCTAGCGTCGCGTAAACTGTAATAATTACTTAATACTGATGGATGTTTCTTCCAAGGAAACAGTGACCAACGGATAAATGTCGGTTAGGAATGTGCAGTTGCTAGTGCAGAAATGTGAGACATATTTTGACATAACATTAGGGGGAGGGGTACTTATTATAGCAAACATAGATCTTACACCGAACTCCTACATTCGTATCAGAGTCGCAATTTATCTCATGCATGAAAATGCCACTTTACAAAGGCATGCATATTCTGACCAAACTCATGGCTGCAGTTCGCAAACATCTTCCGGAAGATTTGAGGCTTTCACGGCGATGACTATGAAGAAAGCAGTCTTCTGGGATTTGGCACCGTGTATATGTGGTGTTAACCGACGTTTCGGAGGAACGTATCGCCTCCATCTTCAGGGTAGAAGGAAAAATATAAGAAATCCGCAAGCGAAGAGACCGTGAGAACCGGTAAAAGCAGACCAGTCTGCATCTACCCTGAAGATGGAGGCGATACATTCCTCCGAAACGTCGGTTAACACCACATATACACGGTGCCAAATCCCAGAAGACTGCCTTCTTCATCTTCCAGAAGCTTTATTTCAGTCGAATTAAGAACTTAATGTGAAGATGAACTGCGCTTTTGTGAACATCGCATGGCCAGTGTACTTCTCTGAGAAAGAGCTTCGCTTCTGCTCTTTGGTACATGAACCCGACGGTGAGAAATTATCGAGCTGTCAAGAAACTGCATAACAGGGCCACAAGAAGACAGGGAAGAGCAATTAAAACACTTCTGAGGTTAAATCAGCGAAGTGCTTGTGGTCAGAACTACAAAGAAAATTAAGATCCTTCATTACATACAATTAAGAATGATAGCAAATTGTACCTAAACTTTTGTCAAAATTGCAGCAAGTAACTTCCTAATGTGTACCTATGCGAATGCATAATTCATAACAAATAACCTTCTCAGCTCACACTTTAACTTTTGATAAAAGTCTTGTGGCAAAATCGCCACGAAAATGGCTGTCAAAATTGATTACTTATCTCTTTCTTATGATGTGACCGAAATGGCAGTGCGATATTGATTTGTCCGCTGAATGGATCGCATTCATCACAGGATTATTATCAAATTGCTTCAAATATTCAAATAGAAAATGCAAAATAGAAATTATAAACTGGGTTCCATATATTCTGTAATTACGGAATCCTTTCCCCATAAGCTTATAGCTCCATGTGTGAAACGTGGTACAGAAGTGACGACGAAACATTTGGACAATGCATACCGACACGTTTCATAACGCAGAATGCATTTAAAATGGCATAGTATTACAGTGCTCATTATATTAATTTGTATGCATTTTCTAATTAATTTATTAATAATTAGGCTAACACATGATGTTATTGTAATTTACAATATTGATTTCTCATGTATCAATCAAATACAATATTTTAGAGTGAATATAAACTCTAGCTCTTACGCAATGACAAATTTGACTACCGTAAATCAGGGTGACTTTGCACGAGTACGGGTGACGCTATGACAGCGGCGCAAGGAGGGGAGGTATCAAGTAATGAAATGAAATGTCATGGGCCATGTGTCACAAAGTCAGCCAGGCTGCCACAAAGTGACTGCGTTTTGCGGTAAAACAAGTTGAGAAATTCAGAAACTTTAAACCCGATTTAAACATAAGCCTACCTCCCTAGGCACACGTGTTCCTATTTTAAGAACACACTAAACTTGTCACTCTTACGTATAAGCGGCTTTGGTAAGTCTCCAATTCTGTAATCTGTTTATCCGTGTCGTGTGTTGAAACTATTCCAACAGTTCGGCCAGGGCCGTGCCATAGCTTAGGCGGTTATGCACCGGGTTCCTTCCGAGGTCGGGTAATATGGGATTTGTGGAGGATCAGATGGAACTGAAGATGGTGTTCTCCAAGCACTTCTGTTTCCCCTGCTCCATATTCAGTAACCGCTCTACCACAAACGCTGTATAATCTCGATATTGACAGCGTCCTCAAGTAACATTTCGACCTTAATTGTAGTCTCTATCTTGAGGGTGAATGTGCGTTGATGGCAAATGAAGAGGTGTAGATGCAGAAGTTACGGTCACTTCGTGAACTCCAGCTTCTCAGACACGGTGTGTCTGTTCTGGTGTGGTCCTTTCTGTACGCGGCTCCCCGAGTCACTCATAGGTGTCTTGTAGGCTTGATTGTAACCTGATACTGTAGGTTGGTATTTGCTTCGTATTGACGTCATTATTGCCTAGGGCCGCTGTTAACTACTTGTCGTTTTCTGTGATGCTTTTTTTTTTAACATCTGCAGATGGCCCTTCAGTTCCTTCAGTTGCAGATGTCCACCAGCAGGCCTATACGTATTGCATTATTGAGTGTGAACTTCCGTTGAAACCATTCCGTTTTTTTTAACTGTAACACTTCTCAATTTCTGCACTTCCGTAAAATATATCAGTAACATAAGATTCAGAATGGTCGGTGCGTCAGATATATTAAATCGCTCCAACAATCATTTTCAGACAGATCTGTGGTCGTTGATTAGGACACTGCATTGTTCCGACAAATTTGTAACCGTTTTGAAACATGAAGACAGATCGAATTAATGAAATTAATAAATAAACCTAAACCTAAAATCCTAGGTTTAATTCAAAGAAAGCGGAGTGTCTTCCAAAAGACAAGCTTGCACACTGATGACACTAAATAAATCGACACAGCGGAAGTGGCTGACAGATAAAAATCTGACGTCAACATTTAGACTTAACACACCAAGTCTACACCTGACTTGAAACGTTTGGCGTTATCAGTGCAGGCTCAATTGTCTCATTAGTGAGTTGCATATTAATCACATTTTATTTATATTAAATATTACTTTCACGGTGTGTATAGGAGTATTTCAAGAATTGTATTAGCCTCTCTTAGGAAGCACGCGGTAGCGAGTTTGCTGAGGCACTATGCTACAATCCGGAAGGTCGCGGGTTCGAGTCCCGATGAGGTGGGGTTTTTTTTTTCATTTGACCTAATCCTTCCAGCCGCATTATGGCCCAACTAACAGGAATTAGTACCAGGAATCTTCCTAGGGTGGTAAAGAGCGACCGGCGCGTAAGGCTGACAACCTTACCGCCATCTTTAAGCCGACTGTCTAGATAATGTGGGAGCCTGAACATCTCACACCCCTATGGGCCTCTATGCCTGTTACAGGGATAGCTTTACCTTTCTCAGCAAAAGTAGTTCCAAAGTGCCTACTAATAATGAACACAACCTCCCGTATTTTACGTAAAGCCTACATTCTATAACTTGAATACAAAGAGAAGTTTTTCAATGAGACTCTTTGAAAAGAAAATGTCGTTCTTAACCTATCTCAGTGGTTCCGCAGCATCCCCCAACATGCAGACAAGAGCATGAGGCAAGGTAACTTGCACGGTCTATTCATGTTTCTGCTTGCCCCCTGCCTGACTACTGTGATAATAAACAGCGCTATGGATTACAACGGCGAACAGCTCTACATACAAAATAAATTACTTGCTTATGTTTCCTCAGTTTATAAACTACTTAGACCCCGCCCGTCCGAATATTAAGAAAATTCCTCGTTTCATATATCTAGGTTCTTAATCTCAGTCTGACACAGGGAATAAATTGAAGCAATGTATAAAACTTCAGTTCGTACATCACAGGAAAATGACGTCTCCGCTAGAAAGATGAATGCTGTTCAGGAGAACAATAGCTGTTTATTGCGAGAATCGTACACACTCTGTGGGAAGTGAGCAGATTCAGTATATTGCAGCAGTCGGTGTATACGAGGTCTGACAAGCACACGGTGGCGAACACGCCACCGTGTGCTTGCCATGGCAGCAGTGGTCACAAACCTCAGTATGGTTTGATGATGGCCGCGCCATCGCTCAAGTGGTTAGTCGCTGGCTTCCCACCGTGGCGGCCCGGGTTCGATCCCGGGTCTGGTCAAGTGGGATTTGTGGTGGACAGGCGCTGGGGCGGGTTTTCTCCTAGTACATCGGTTTCCCCTGCCAATCTTCATTCCATCAAATTCTCCACCATCATAATCACCCGGGGCAGGCTACAATAGGCCAATCAGCGACCGCCGTGCCGAGTGGATCCAGTTGGACTCCACCCCCCACTAAGCGAATTAAAAAAATGGGTTGATGACGTTGGCATATCAGCGGTTCACAGCTGTGTTGTTGTTGATGTATGGCAGTCTCTTTCTGAGCGGCGTCTATTGCTGTCTGAGTGTGTTCTGGTGCGCCGTCGCGAGAATGTCTGAGCTTCAATTAGAGCAATTGTCTGTGAGGGAGTTTTAGCTAGATAACAAATAACTGTGCTGGAACACCCTCCCTCTTCACCGGATCTAGACCCAAGAGACCTTTCTGCATTCCTGAAGATAAAGGAAATATTGAGAGGAAGGCATTTTGATGACACTGATTACATCAGGATTAATGCGACGGCAGCTCTGAAGGCCATTCCACAAAACCAGTTCCAGAACTATTTTGAGGGGTGGACTGGGCGCTGGCATCGGTGCATAGCCTCCAAAAGGGACTACTCTGAAGGCGACCACAGTGATATGCAGCAATGAGGCACGTAGCACTCTTACTGAGATGTGTTCGCGAACTTTATTGTCAGACCGCATATACTTTTACAGTAACCATGAGGCTATAAAGGATCCGTACTGTACACCACAACACGGCCTGCCCCAGTCAGATCAAAACAAGGATAAAAACGAATGGTACTTACCACTGGCTCTCTGTTCCATCCTCTTGCAGGTTCCGTTCGGAGCGTCTAGGCCGCACACTGCGCCAGATGGCTGCCTCGTCTCCAGTATCTGCCTGTTACACAAAGAGTCCCGATTATTCAAGTCAGCAAAATAATGCCTCGCCTTCCAACGCGTCATTACTTATAGTGAAAAATGCAATGTCTGTATAGGCCCACATGCATATTCACAAACACAAAACACTAATGTATACCGAATGGAGAAAAATAGCCTAATATTTTTGGTTCGAAATTTTCTAATATAGGTCTATGGTGTGCAATTTGCGTACGGTCTTAGGCAGCTCAGACACTGAAATCGAAGGTTAGAATTCCGCTCGGGACACGAATGGGTGCCTCCTCTTTCCTCTTCAAGCCACGGCCCATCTGCCTTTCGAGAAGTTACATCTTATATCCACTTCTAGAACAGAACCTAGTCTAAGGAGGCGAGCCGTGGCATAGCTCAGGCTGCTAGTCGCCGGCTTCCCACAGCGGAGGCCCGGGTTCGAGCCCAAGTCTGGTCATATGGGATTTGTGGTGGACAAATTAGCACTGGGGCAGGTTTTCTCCGAGTACTTCGGTTTCCCTTGCCAATTCTCATTCCACCGACTG